TTTTAGTTAGTTGGTTATGTATTTTTTAAATAAAAAAAAATTTTTGAATTTATTTACTTGTAGCCGGAGTTAGAAGCAGTCGGATATTTATGACCGCTACTGTACCTCTGATTAATCTAAGGTTTGAAGAGGTCTATCATAAATGATTCTAAAGGTAAATTACTTTAGTTATTGTAATTTTTAAAGATAATATTTAACATTTCTACATCTTCTATAGGCTTACCTCTGATCAATCCAAGTTTTGAAAATTTCAGTCCATTAAAACATATTTAAGGTAAAATTACTTTTATTTTTAGTTGTAATTTTTTTTAAAAAAAAAATAATTAGCATTTCTACCCTTTCATAGGTTTACCTTCCGATCGATCTAATATTTGAAGAATCCAGACTGTCATAAACAAAACCAAAAGGTATATAATTTTTATTTAGTTATTGTAATTTTTTTTTAAAGAATTATTAACATTTTCTGCACCCTTTAATAGACTTATCTTTGATCGATTAAGATTTGTCATTATAAAAATATCCTAGAGTAAATAAATAATTTTATCCGTTTAATCTATAATTTTTAAATTATATAATAATAAAAAAAAAATTTTTTCTAATAAACTGCCTTTTTTAAAACCAGACTATTCGCTTCAAAATATACCATAAAATATCTCCCTAATAATAAATCTTTCGGAATTATCTAAAATTTAAGATCGCTAATTTTGAAATTTTATTGATCAATATAAATACAGTTGTCACGTGATGATTAGCTAATACGTTCAAATGTTTCGAACATAAAAATTTTATGTTTATGTCTGTGGGATAGTCTGAGAACAGACAGTCCATGTCTATGTCTATATCCCATGACAATACTGCATTAAGATATCAAGGAAAAATTAGTAATAGAAATATATTTTGATAATGCACATGTAATATTATAATAAAAACATATAAATATGTTATGTTGGCATTTTTATATGGTAGTTTAAATATGATTTCAAATGTAACTACAGTCAACTCTTGATATAATGAACTCTTGATATAATGAATTTTTTAAACAAATATAATAAAAATACTCTTGTTATAGCGAATTGGCCAATCAAATCTCTTAAAATCTTCACTATAGCCTTATAGCGAAGTTGAGTTCTAGAACATAGAGTTCGTTATAACAAGAGTTGACTGTATCTACATTTCCAAAAATCTTCTCGTCTAATTTTTTCTTATCGCTAATATTGCTAATTATGAGATTCTCCCGCCCATTCATGTTTACAAAAATTTTTTGCCTATTACACCATGTAAAAGATTAAGTTCTGCAAGAGAGATGATAGATTTTGAGCCTATCCCTTCAATTTAATTTAGGAAACTTAAGTTCACGTGACATTAGTACTGTTCTGCATTTTTCTGAGGGGTGTAGACTCCAGGAGAGACCATCCCATATAAAGGAGTACTATTACACAATTTATTGGATTTTTTTATACAGTTTACAATACATTTTCATGAGACCAAAGTTGCTGATCTGTGCAATGAAATGTGAACAAATCAATTAAGATAACTTGAAGTTCTTGTACTGCACTATTACATATTTTTTAAATTCCCATTAATCCCACGCCTTTACATTGCTATCCACCTTTAAAGATATGTCTGAGACAAAGTGATATACAGAATGCTAAACTATTAACCTAATTAAATTTCGCCTGTTGAAGGGAAAAAAATGGAAAGAAGCTGAAAACAATAATTTAGTGAAGGTAACATTGAGGGAAAGTGTTCTTTTATGTAATGTTTGTTATATGCATTTTATAAAAAACCCCTTAAAAAAAGGGTATAAAAAAGTAAAAATTACAGATGAAACCATGAACGAAAACACTGTGAACACAGAAGGTATGAAGGTTGATCTTGTTAGAGCTATTAAAGTGATGGCAAAAATCCTTTACGAGAAAGAACATGTAAAAGAAAAAGGTCCTATATATGCATTTGATAAAATGCGAAGATTATTTCAAGAAATTAACCTGAGCTTAAAGGATTTCTTTGATCAACTATATTCAGCAACTCAGCCACTCAAACGCAACAAGCAAATGATAGATCGTATGAAAAAATTGATAGTGTTCATTTGTTACTTTACTATCAGACTCATTTTTTTTGATAGTATTTTATAATTATTATACTATATATACAATTAGGATGTTAATATAATAATACATATTATTATATATGTTGAAATAGTTATTAATAAGGTTTTTAACAAATTTTGATTATAACATTAATAGTGTACATGATTTCAGAATGATAAATCTTAAGTATTACATGATTATTTTTATATATCAAATCAGATAAATAATTATTTTAACATTACATATTATATGTCAATATTGATAACAATAAGCTATTTAGCAAATTCAAATTATGTTATTTATTAAAAAAGATAATTATTATATATTACATAACATTTTTTGAATAAATGTTATTTTAATGCATTACATAAGCATTCTATTAATGTATTATAATATTCATTTAATATTGTATTACATATAAAAATTTGCATTTGTATATTGCTAAATATATCATAAATAAAAAATATGCTCATCATCTTTATCTGTGTGATCTACGTATACGACGTCTTGATAAAGCCGATGCTGATATATTAATTTGATTAGTAGCATTCTTTTGGGTTAAATTTGGAATAGTCAAATCACTAGTTAAATGATCTAATTCCTTTACTTGTTGTAATGTATGATGGTTATCCATATTATAGTTGGTTAAATGCGAAACTTCAAGTGTCAGATGTAACATAAATGCCTTCTTTAAAAGTATCTTTAAAGTATTGATGATGGTTATATTATTGAACAATTCATCTTCTTTGATAACGGCTAATTGAGTGAAGAAAATATCTTTAAGAAAGCATTGTTTACAAATGATATTATATCATCTTCACTTGGTATCTCATTGGTACTTGAAATGCTATTTAAAGATGAGTATTAAGTGATAATTATGTTCTTACAATAATATTTTATAAAAATAACTTACTTATTAATTTTTACATATTCTTCCGCGTAAAAGTTAAGATCATTATTGAATCGTAAACAGTGTTGTGCTAAGTATTCCAATCTGCATCCTTTAAAAATTTAATATTTTTATTATTTTTTTCCTGATCGGGTAATAAAATCTTTACAACAGCTGCAACTGCAGCTGAACCAGGATTTTGACTTCGTATAAACATAACTTTCATTTCTTCACACATATCAGAAATATGTTCACTAGTGACCTAAAATCAAACGGTTAGATAATTTTAATTATATAATATATTATAAATAAATTTACCTCTCTGTTAGATACAGGTGGAGATTCAGTTGGCGATGTCAATATTATTGTAGGCAGTGTTATCATAGGACAGGGACAGAGACATAGGACGAGACGGGACAGGACAATTTTAGGACATATTTCTAATTTTTATGTATGGAACATATTTGGAACAATATATCCGTTAAATTAAAGATATAAAATTAGATATAAAATAATATAGAAATATTTAATGATCATAAAAGATAA